AATATCGATCACGTATCTATCTTCTCTTTGTTTATTTCTACTTTCGAACTTCGATCGATACTGTTGAAAGAGAAAGGGAGGAAGGGAAAGAGAGAGAGAGAAAAAGAGAGAGATGAAAAGAGACCGCAGGAACTTCAAAGGGCCACCCTTTTCGTATAGCCGAATTGTACATATTTGTCGATGTCGGTTGCAGTTTGGCGTGCAAATTGCCAAATCGCTGTTGCTAAATCTTCCGAGGAAACTTGTACCTACGTTTGCAAAAAAAAAATAAAAATCAACAAAATGTTTTATAAAAATTATTTATTCATGATAAAACAAATAAATGTCATTTTACCTGTCCTTGCATATTATATTGCATAAGACACACGTATCTCATTATTATTATTGAAACCAACACTTTTATTATCTCGTATAAATACTTTTTTTATATATATATATATATTAACTTATATGAAAAAGTTTTGATGTAGTATTATAATAGATAAAAACAAATTCAAACCTCGTAACTGTACTATAACTTTAAACGAGATGAAAGAGACAGTGTAGTTCTATTACGATCTCGAATCTGTCGCACACCATGAGTCATATTTATAGTTACAAAGTATCCCCAGCTGACTTATACTTAGTTAGAGACAAGATTTTTCTCGAATAACGAAGGTCGACCGGTCGTCGATTTGCAACAACAACAACGAGTCGACGACGAACGATTATCCTCTTATTCCTTTTTTGCTTGTCTTGATTTTTATTTATTTTTTTTATTATTATTATTTTTATATTTTTTTACTTCAGACGTTTAGGCTTGCAGGAATGCAAAGAGTTTCTCTCTCTTTCTTTCTCTCTTATACACTCGCAATTTCCGGCTTTACAAACGACAGATCCAGCAGGTGGTTAAGGGATTATAAACGTAGACGTAACTATGTGTTACCCAGTGTGAACGCGAGTCACCAAGCCAGTTTTGCATGCCTCCCGGCTAACAACGACCAACTGGACTAAACGTAAACGTCAAACTTAAAGCCAATATTTCAACGCGTTCTTCAAAATCACCCAGCGATTAGTTAGCTATTTTGTGATTTCCTCATCCTAAGTTCGTTCATTGTACAGTATACGAGTTGAATTCCATCAGCGAATAAATACAATTTCAACATTTTCATATATATTGCGAGAACAAAAAAATTGTGTTAATGTACTAAACGTGTAAAGATATTTTACAATATTTTATTAAATCTTAGATTTTATAATATACGATGACTTTTACGATGGTACGTATGTTCCTTATTCGAACGTATAATATACTGAATGTCTAATAATATAACTTTGAAATAAGATCGAATAGGACACAAGTTTAGATTATATTTTTGTTCATTCCTTTTTTAATTCTCATTCTGAAATAGGTTCCATATACAATATTACGAGACATCTTGTATATTATTAAAATCTTATCCAAAATTTATTATTGCGTGTTAATGAATTCAATATTTTTCGTATATTTAAGAATTCTATTAAAAATGTATAATACTTAATTGATATTCAACTTAATGTTAATTAGATTATATATATATATTTGTATTTAATTTAACGATTAACTCATTGTCAGACAATTTATAAATGAATTACTTTTGTTCTGTAAATCTTTTCAATCGGAAAAATAAAAACAAATATCCTGAATTTATTCGAGCGTATTTTTCTCGATTAACTTTCACGACGAAAAGTTCCCCTTGTCTATCGACTGATTTTTTACAATGGTACACTCTCTCTCTCTCACACCCTTCTGTCTGAAACGTATCGAAAGTAGCTAACGTTTCAAGAGAATATTTTTTATCGGCGAACGAACGAACGAACAAAACTATGGCGCGTAAAACAATCGGGGGGAGGGTACTACTTTTTTTTACGAACGTACATTGACGCAACGCTTTTCCTTCATTCGGCAAGTAACTCTCTTTTCACGCGATAGAAACACAATGGAAAAGCGAGTTGAATGAACAAGAATAAAAAGAAAAAAATTAAAATACAAAGAAATTTCTACGCTGGATATACTCACGAGTGTCAAAATAATAAAAAGAAAGGATGGGGAAGGATGGAAAGCAGAAGAAAAATCTACGAACCCCATCATTTTCACAAGTAAAAACGAATCCCGCGATGTTTTTTTCTTTTTCTTTAAATTTCTACGCGATGTCAATGGCAAAAATAAATTATTTTATATTTTAATAAAACCGTGGGGGGTCACAAATATTTTCAAACAGAATTTCATAAAATACGATTAATAAATTTCCATAATTTATGATTAATTTTTAAATGCGAGAAAATGTAATTTCATTAAAATCATATTTAATATAAATTTAACCCATACATTTTAAGATACTATTAGAAATATCGAAATGTTTTATTTAATTACGAGAACAAATGATATTTCAATTGTTCCAATATTTAGATGACAAAAATTAGATGTAAAAAAAGATCGTAAATCGAATTCCATAGATTCTTATCAGCTGTAATAAATTACATATAATACATTAATACATCGTTTATACACCATAAACCTAAAGTATCGAAAAGTGAAAACTTTCGAAAGGGTTAGATGATAGAAAAAGAGAGAGAGAGAGAGAGTATTGACTTCGCTTATTGCTTCTGTCAATCAAAACAGTCGTGTTTAGTGTCGAATGAGAGAAAAGCAACAGAGAAGGGTTGCTTGCCCTTTCCTGTTCTTTTCAAATAGCTGTACCACCTGCCAGTTGAGTATTCGTTCAACTAGCGCAACAGAGAGAGAAAGAGAGAGAAACTTGTATGACTGTATTTCACGTAAAAAGCAAGTTGTAATTTGGTGCGAACGAGAAACGATACGCGTTATTTTACGAGGGGGTAGAGAATAAGGGGGGCGGGGGGTTTCAAAATACCAGCAGAGCCGATCGATCCTGTCCCGACGGAATTTCGATTTCATTACTTCGATTTATCGATTAACCCCTGCACGCTTTTTCGATATCTCTCATTCTCTCCAATTTTATTTTGTCTACCGTTCCTTGTTTTTTGTTTTTATTTGATTTTATTTATCGATATAAGCGTAAAAATTTCCATTCGACGTTTCAGTTGATACGAAGTAAAATTTGTTGTCACCACCCCTCCTATCTCTCCTGACACTTTCAATTACCAATTATAGAGTTTTACTATTTCGATACAATTTCAAGGAGAAATTATTATCGTTTTAGCAACAATCGTGAAAATATATATTATCGTTACCTTGAACAAAGTAATACAATATAATACAACTGTTATTTTGTTCTTCTGTTTCATTATGAATAAAAGAACGAAGATAGAGATAAAAGGTGTTATTAATTTATCTTTGGTATCCCATAATTTGATTATTATTTTATCAAATTTAGCGGCATCTTGAGAAAAATCTTGTCGGCTTTTTTATTTCTCGTATTTGCGATGTTCAGAACCGCGTTCCAAAGGGAAACATACTTGAGTATAATACAAACATATATAAATAAGTAAAATAAAATAAGAGGAAAAAGTAAGTAGTCTTGATTTAAAAAGAACGTCCCTCCAATTAGTGTGCTTATCAAAAAAAAAATGTGTACGAGTCGCAAAGGCAGCAGCTCTTGTTTGTCCCTTCTATTCCTGTTTTATTCGACTTACGTTTTCCTAAAGTAGTTCTTCTTATACTAGGTACTACTACCGTTCGAGGAAGGTAATGAAGGGATTCGTATAATCACAAGAGCTAGGTACCTTATCAAGAACCGGCATTATTCGACTCTCTATGGTATGCGCCTCATTAATTAAAAAGCAAAAAAAAAAAGGGAAAAAAAGAACGTTCAGGAGGTAGAAAAGTCTCTTGCACGATATAAAACAACTCGTTTTCGCCTAAAACCCCTTCGCATTTAAAGGAAAAGAAGAAAAAAAAAACGTCCAATTTATTTATGCGTACACGCTGTTAAAAAGTCGCGTCCTGCGATTTAATTATTAATTATATTTATATATCATATAAACTAAAGATCAATAAAAAGAAAAAGAAGATGGATACGAAAATAATTGACACAAAAAGTTACTTGTGCTTCTTTTTACTTATATATAGGTATAACATAACTGACGACTAATTTTCTTTATTATCCGAACAAATAAATCAAAAAAAACTGAATAGTCTCAAATCTCAACCCAAAGTCTGATAAGAGAAAAGGATAACAAAAAAGAGAAAGAAAAAAAAATTAACCAAAAGATGAGAAGCACAAAACGAACGGTTCAATCAATTCAGAATGAATGATTTTAATCGAAGAATTAAAATTGAAAGTTAATTAATCGTCAACATAAATGTTAATATGTTTGCGAAGGTCTCCCATAATATAGTGAAAAGATGTAGTAAGAAGATAAGGAAACAGAGGGGATAAATGCGGCGCGTCAACTTTCTCGGAGATTTCATTAAGTCGTTAAAATTAACGTTCTCTGTCTCTGTCTCTGTCTCTGTCATTTTCTATCTCTTTCTCTCTTTATTTCTTTCTCTTCCTTTCCCTCTTCTTCCTTCTGTAAACGAATTTCTACAGCACACAAGATGTCGTTAATTTCGTAATAATCGACAAGTATCGGCACGTGCACGATTCCCTTCTCTGACTTTAAGAGGACAGGATCAGCAAAGAAAGAGAAAGAGAAAGAGAAAGAGATAGAGAGAGAAAGAGAGAGAGAGAGAGAGAGAGAGAGAGAGAGAGAGAGAGAGAGAGAAATAAAAAGAGAAAAAAAAGAAAGAAAGAGAGAATCCAATTTAATATGGAAATTCTAATTCGCCCTATTGAGGAAATCAATTACCTCTAATGAATACAACATGAAGGGTGTAAAGAGTTTAGCTATAAATTCGCATATAGAAATCAAACAAATATCTAGCAACTTTAAATGAAAGAGAGAGTTTTTGTTCGAAATATTTCATGCTTATTAATATTAAATTATTAAATTCTAATATATTCGCAAGCTCAATGGATATATATATTTTGTATCTATGTAGAATCAGAAAAACTTACCTTCGCAGGATCGGATTTTTCCGACTGATCGTTGAAAGTTTGTGACCCTCGGGACATTGTATTTCTTCGTGGTATCGTAGTGCCATCTTGCGAGGGGCGCACGAACTCTATTCTTCCACCCTCTACAACAATATTAGGGGCTGGTGGAAAGTTTTCTGTGTTACCGACAGTATCGCAGTAGCCTAAAAGCCCTGCCTTTTCTCCGTACAGAGGGTGGATTTGTCTGCAACAGTCGGTAATAAACATATTTAAGGGTTGAACGTGTTGTGTATCTAGTAGATGTTGCATATTATCCTAAATTATGTGTAATATCTAACAAATTAAACTGATTATCTATTCTCATTATATTTTTGGTTTTTACAAATTTATAATTTGTTTTGAATGCACCATATTATCGACCAATTTCAAAATTATATTTCCAATGATTAGTGTAAAATAAGAAAAAAATCTCTTAATTCGATAATCACGTTAAAAAGCAGCAATTAAAATATTATATAATAAATAATATATTTTACAAATAATTCAAGAACTATTCATAAGTTGAAATGCGAAACTAATTACTTCGTAGATCTATAAATTATCGAAAAAAACTACAAAAATTAAACAGTTGTCTTACGTTAACCATGTAAATACATTACTATTATTTTCAATGAAAAAAAAAATGCTTTTCTTAGAAAAAAAGAAGACACCATCTGAGACAAGTTAATACAAAATTATTTAAAATGCAAAAAATGTGGGTTGTTATCTCTTCTTCGTAGCCTCGTATTCCCGCTATATCTATTATTGTTAGATGATAATCACGACGATGTTCTTCATTTTGATCCATTAGGTTTCGTCGTCGAGAAACTGAACCATAAGACTCATCAGTAGGGCTTGATATCATTATTTGGTTTAGATTCCCTGCCCTAGACCTAGATGAAAACCCACCTATTCGGTGGACTTAGGTACTAATCAAGTAACGAAGACGAGGAGAAGTACAAAAATTGGAACGC